CGGCCTCCTCGCGCGACCCCCGGTGCCTTCGCCCGGCCCCTCGACGAGAGCTCCTCAGGTGAGTGCGGCGGCAGTGGGGGAAAGGGCGTCAGGAGAGGACAGGGGAGCTCTCAGCCCCCTGCCTGACCCCTTCCGGGGACGCTGACAGGCGCTCGGGACCCGGCCTCTGGGGGGCGTCGCAGGGTCAGCCTGTTGGGGGCCTTTTTTTTTTTTTTGACGCCGCTGCCCCTCGGGATCTGGTCCCAGGCTGGTGGGGGGTTCGGCACCAGGGGAGTGCAGCCGCCGGGTAGGAGTTGACAGGGCGACCCGGGCGTGGGGTCGGGCGACTGGAGGCAGGTGGGCCCCTCACTGGGGCTTGGTAAAGTGCGGGGAGGGGTCGAGGGGCAGGGCAAGGTGCGCGGGGGGCGGGGGAGAGGGGTGTCCGCTGGAAGCTTTCCGGACGCGGTCCTCGGGCAGTTGGGAGAAACTCTGCCCTTGGGACGAGGGGCTGTGCTTTTGCCCCGGCCAGCGAAAGTGGCGGATTTTACAGCAAAACTCGGGGAAGCCAGGCAGGACCGGACGGAAGGGAGAGGGACCGGGAGGACCCGTCTGGATGGGGACCAGAGATGAACAAATCCGCCTGTGGGTAGCACTAGGGCATGATGTGGGGACGTTGCCATGCCAATGTTTGGTGTTTGTTTCTTATGGTTATTTTAGGACCAAATGATAAAAAAGTTATTTGGGAGAGAGGGAACTGCTTGCATGGTCATGAGTTCTTCCCTGGGTATGCAGGAAATGGGTAAATCTTTCACGTTACCACCCCCAACTGAGTCTATGCCCAGTGGGCTTTTAAAATAATAAATACAAAACTCTGAAGCACCGAAACACGGTAATATGTCTGTCGGATGAGTTTCAGGTGTCAGGCTCCGTGTTCCGTGGGAGAAAAACAGGACGACACTGTAGTACTTGATATGCTCAGGCAGTCCCCTTTTTGTAATAAGCTTTGGGGCTCATCAGAGTGGAGTTTAGTTATAACTGCCAGGGTTAAGTAATCACATTGACCCAGTGCCACCCACCAATCAGGAGCTTCCCTGAGTAACTTGGAAGACTGCTAACAGCCCAGTCCTTGCTGATTGTGAATAACCAGTGGTTCTGCTGGGTTTTTTCCTCTTTAATTTTCCGCTATTATATTGCACTTACCAAACGTTAAAATGAGTGATCCAGTTAAACTGCTCTCCACTAAGTCACTTTTAAATTATCAGGCGCTAGCTCTGACATGTCTTTTTTTCATATTTGGAAGTTCCTTGGATACTTCAAATATAATAACTTCAAATTGATAAGGATTTTTTGAGTCTTAAGCAGATTATACCAGGTGGGTAATGTGTTTTAAAATTTAAATCTCATCCAAGAAAACCTGTGGTTTGTGAAAGGGGCAGGATTGTGACAGCTGAGGAAATGTCTGAAGGAGTCTTCTGTGAAGGATAAGAGAACAACCAGGACACCTGGTGAGTTCAGTGTTAACTGGCAGGCCCAGCATATGCAAACTTGCTCCTTACTTGAGCATTTCTGACACGTGGGAGCTTCTTCTGTTGATTATGGATCTTCTGTTATTTGTCATTTTCAAAAAGTTCTGTCAACAGAAAACCCTCACTTCAAAATTGAGTGATTGTGGCATGTACCCAAAGTACCGAAGAGTTTCAGTATGAGATATAAAGGAGGATTATTCAGTTTGGGATCTTGTTAATTCTTTCTGTGCAGCAATTTTTGTACCTGACTGCTCTGATGCCCTTTTGAGGTCTTGCTCCTGTTGGCTGTTGCTGACTTATGTCTGTAAACAATCCTGTAATGGGCTATTTGAATGTTACAACCTAAAACATCATTTCCTGTAATATATAAATATTTTTTTTCATCCTTCCTTCTCTGTTTTTAAAGGGAACTGTAGATTTGGGCAAATCAGCACTTACTCAGCATATGCCCCTCCTGTAGGTCTCATTGACCTTGGTAGCATCATGGAGGTCATGTGTTCAGGGAGATAAACTTCTTGAATTTCCACCAAGTGATAAAGACATGGGAGAGAGATTTGAGATGTGCGTATCTTGATTTTTTTAAATCATTTTTATTGGGAATTTATTGTGCTCACTGCCAAAAATAAGTCATTGATTTCTTTTTGGAGAATACATACCTTTCTATTTTAACATTAAAAAAATCACTAAACTTCCTTTTTCACCTTTTCTAGTATTGCTTGTATAGTCTATACTGACAAATGGCTTTTTGGGTGACATTTTTAAAGCTTGGGAAATAAGAAGGGCAGTAATACTGGGATCAATTTGGCCTGGGAAAGCAGCTGTGCTCTAAGAAATTTGATATTTACGAGTATAAGATTACAAAACAAATTAAGTAGTGGTTAGTTACATGAGAATTCTATATTTTACAAAAAGGATTCACTAAAAGTTGCCTTTAAATAATCCCTTTTACGTGGTACTTACCAAACATGACTTGATTTATAAAAAATCGTTTGGCATACAGCAATTTAGGAATAGGTTTTTGGCATAATGTAAGACTTATCAGTATGTTTCTTGAATTGTCCCTTTCTCAAAAGTGGGGACAAAATATTTATGGGCTTCTTAAATTCAAGTTTATGCTGCTGTATGCTACCTATTAATGTGTTAACTGATTAGAAAACTTGTCATCTGATTTGTGCTATGCCATTTAAAGAGTACATTGAAACCTAATTAAAATGCCAAAATGTTATGGTCAGGTTTGTGTGGAAGCCCATCCAAGGTAGTGTAGCTACTAAGGTATCAAAAACACCTTGTTGTAAGATACTGTTAGGATGGTGGTCCCGCAGCATAGGCCGACAAGTGGTTATACCCAGACTTCAGCAAAATAAAAATAAATAGATTTGGTCTAAAGTCCACATGCAGTGAAAACCATTACCTTGAATTTTTCTCTACGTGCAAATTATTCCTCAGAATTAAAGGCTTGATTTTCCTAAGCTGTAATTCTCTTTGGGTCACTTGTGAAAAATTCTATTTTGATAAAAGAAGGACTATGTACTCTTTAAACTTTCCAGGGAGCTTTTTTTTTTTTTCTTTTTGTTAGTGCAGTTGGGTTTATTTGGAATCGCAGGAGATATTGAATGGGGTACTTCAAGAGTTTTCATTCTGAAATCATCTTGCTTGGGTGATGTAAAAACAAAAAAGGAATGTTAGTTAATAAAAGTAGAACTTGCTTATGGGTTAGTTCAAACTTTATGTTGGAGTACAGGGTAAAGGAAGGAACTGGGCACAAACTTTATTATGGATAATTAATCAGATTTACTTTGCCTTATACTGTTCATGTCTGGCTTCATAAGAGTGACACTTCTCCCCAGTTTTAGAGAGGTCTTATTTTTAGAGACGGAATTTAAAGGAAAAGAGCTAAGCATACGGGAGTAAAAGTGTTCAAAGCATCAAAGTGTTTGAGTGCTTTAATAGTTTTTGTTTTGTTTTTGTGCATTAGACAGAAAGCAAGAAATTATTCTGCTGAATATGGATTGAGAGCCCAACTTTGGGATAATGGGCACAGTTTTATTCCTCTTAGAATAATTGAATATTATAAAAATTGAGGGAACAGCTTGAATGATGCCACTGATTTCTTAGTACAGGCTCTTAATTCCTCTGTTGAACAAGTGAGTAAAAATGAAGATTGAAGATGTGATATTAAAAGAAATTTTTTCAGTTTTTAAAAAAAAATTCCTAGGCATTGTCTCAAAGGATTGCTAATTTTAGAGCTTGGTGAGGTTAAAAAAAAAACCTTATTACTTGGATATATTAGTAATGAGGGCATGTAATTAAAAAAAATTTTAAATACATGCAAAAAAGTTAAGTAGACTATTTTGGCTTGAAAATATTTGTGCCAAGGGGTGTCTGAGTGGCTCAGTGGTTGAGCATTGGACTCTTGATTTCGTGTGAAGTCATGGTCTCCGGTAGATGGAGCCCTACCGTGCTGGGCCTGGGGCCTGCTTGAGATTCTCTCTCTCCCTCTCCTTCTGCCCCTCTCCCCTCTCACTCTCTAATAATAATAATAATAATAATAATAAATTTTAATTAGAACATAAGGATGATTTATGTTATCAGTTTCATTATTTAACTCAGTATCACTTTAAAAATGTCATTCAATTTTTCTGTTCCCAGTTTTCTTTCCTATAAAATACAATTAATAGTACAACATACTTTAAAGTTGGGTTTTTAAATAATATTTGCTAGACTTCTTAAGCATAAAATATTACCTAATACTGATACGTATATGTAAATCTTCTATATGGGATTTTTAGAAGTTTGGACCTTGTAATCTATAGAAATTTAGGCAAAAGTTTGAAAAACCAAAAAGGCAGAGTTCAGAGTTATAGATCCTCCTGTGAATTGTATTTTCCTCATTCTTCTTAAAGGATTTTCTTTCACTCTTGCTTGTTTCTATCTTCTAGACTCCAGTCATGCTAGTTTTTAGTGTTGGATGGTGTCTACACCATCAATAGAAGGTTCTCTTGTAAAAACTGCTCTGTGTATCTTCTCACAGCTGTTCCATCTGGGAGAGTGTTTGAATTTCACTTACTGAATATGCTTTAATCACAAGATATTACTAAATAGAAAGGTTCTAATGATGTACTTACTGTATGTTGGCTAATTGAACAGAATAATAAAAAATAAATAGAAAGGTTATTGCAATTTTCACAAACTAGAGGAAAATATAAATTTATCTTAAGGTATTTTATAAACATTTTTATATTACTGCAGGGACAGGTAAATACAGTATGTGTAATTTAATATTTCTAACTGTTATTAACATTTGTTCTAACTTTATTTGATGTATTATTAAAATCAGAATAGTAGGTGTAGAGTCTCATTTAAAAATATCTGTCTATGGAATATTTTTCAAAACAACTTGCCCTTAAATGGGCAGAGGATGAAAATTTTACAGTGAAACCTTCTAATTGAATATATAGTTAAGTGTTTGATATCAGGTATTGTTTTGATTGTTATCTTACATATGAGGATTTTTTGTGTGTTTTTATAGGCTTGCTTTTAAGTATTTTATTTT